TGTGTGTGTGTGTGTGTGTGTGTGTGTGTGTATATATATATATATGTATATGTGTATACATGTGTATGTATGCATGTATGTATGTATGTGTGTATGTACGTACACACACACACACATACACACACAGAGTATATATAGCATCTTACCTTTTATAGGAACCATGCAGAGGCTGGAGACAGAGGAACTGCCAGTAATCCAAACAAAAAGATTTGAACTTCAACATTTTGTCAGCTGGCAGCAAAAGCTTGGATTAAAACAATGTCATTGTGTGCAGCGTCCATCGAAAAAAAGCTTGTTCAAAAGTAATGGCTTTGACTGAGATGAACAAAGCAAATCCTGCACAGTACAGCCCACATGGTACAGTCCCATCTCAAAATCTGCCTGTGTGTATCTGGACAACGTAGAGTAGACTGAAACTGCATCTCTCTGCTCCCTTTCTGAATGCTGAGCAATCCTTTCCTGTGCTCCCTGTATATCCAGGCATAAGCTAGTAGTGCCTTGACAGAGATGCCAACCACTGAACCCCTTGGCTTCTCTTGGAGTTGTTGGGCAAAAGGTTTGTCCCAACACAACCCTCTGCTGAACAAACCTTCCTTCTTGTCCTACTCCTTCTCTTTACGCTCACTCTTTCCTAGTCAGTCAATAGCAGACGAGGTTCCTGTCTCCATCATTGCTGCTCCTCAGAGTTGAGTTACAGCTGCAACTATTGTCTGAGCGACCACACTGACAAGGTCTGCGCCTCGTCAGGCTAACAAAGCACACAAAGGCCTCCCTCAGTGGCTGTATCAATTAGGCTTTATCAGATGCTACACAGCCGCTGCCAGCCTGCGTTGCTCACAGACAAGCTAATCAACAGGAACACATGGTGCACAGAGGGGCAAAGCCAGAACCAATGAGGGCCCAGCCTCTCACAAACACACACACACACACACACATACACACATGTGCAGATAAAGCCTAGGCTGGTTGCCAGGACAACCTTAAACACAGCAATAAAAGCCACTGATGGATATCACTCTTGCTGGCTGAAGAGGAGAGCACAGGGCCAAGCATTCACTTACAGTTTCTTTTTAGAGGTTCTCTTTATATGGACCTCATTTACATGAATACATTCACCTGGGTGACAGCCTGGGTTTAATGAAAAGTCCTTTTCCATCAACAGAAACTCATTGTGAAACTTGCATGAATGAATTAATGATCAATGTAGAAACACAGGTCATCAGTAGTTGATGATTACATATGTTCCCCAAAGTACAAGAAACAAATCAGAGTGTTCAAATATCATGTAGCTTTTACAAAGGTTTTACATGGATAAAGGAGGAGAATACAGCAAAGGCATTGAATGCTTATGCAGAGTATCAAAGAAATAGCTCAGAATATATGTTCACATA